CTACCCGCCCCCGTCCGCATCTGTCTGCCACCACACCCCGCCACCCACCACTGTCCGCACCGCTTACTGACCGCGGCCCATGCAATTGCTCGTTTGAGAGGTTACACTCTTTCAGTCCGTAACTGACGTCACAGTGGCGAGTGCCAATGTTGATGTTATTATTATTCTATTGCATATTTTCCACAAACGCGTGCTCCTTTTCAACAGAAAAATTAAAGGGACAAGACTCACTTATCAGTTCCAGACACAGGAACATTAGTTACGAGCGCTGCATCGTATGTTCAAAACATTGTCACATGAGCCGACCTCCAAGCGCCCAGAAAATTGCTATCGCAGAGATCCGACCCTCTCGTTCACGGCGCGACGAGAAAGGTGCCGCTTCCGAAAAATAATTCTGGATAATTCCGTGGAATGGAAGGGGAGATATTTCGTTTCATATTTGATTGCTCTTCTTTCTTAATATACAGTAATTCAAATATGGTAAATCTTTTTTTACTTGTTTGTCCCCCTCTGTGATGCCTACGACACACGGTTAGGTGAAGGAGTAAAATGTTGATAAGAAAATATCATTGGTCATTGATCGCAGGTCAAATTCAATTTAGTCCATAAAATCACCCCCGCATTTCCACTATATGTTTATCATATTGTGCTTCTCTTCTTTTTTTACTACTTCTTCCACATATATATTTCTCCGGTAGAAACGATCTTTGTTCTTTGCTGACATCAGTACTTAGAATATTCAACATAAATGTTTTGCTGTAACCTAACTAGAAAGTAAAAATATGTTCCGTGAGCAATTAAAAATCGGTACCGAAGTCAGCAATTTGTGTTATTGTGAGACGGTCATTGCAATGTAGTTCTCGATTTGTATTATCAGTCGCCTCCCTCAGCTCCACTGCTTTGCGAAAGATTTCGGAAGTCCGCGCACATTCCTGAAAATTATTCCGGTCCATAGAATCCAGGGAATAGAGAGCGCTATGGCTGTTATTGGGAGAAACTCGTATAAATTCACCTCCGGTTTTTACCGTTTATTAATTATCTTTGGATACCCAATGGGTAGTCGATCAGGCGTGTAATAGGTAATTAGAACGCAAAAAAATTGGTCGGGCGGCGTGCGGGCGCGCCCGCTCCGACGATGCGGTCCGGTGGGCACGCCGCCGCCCACCCCTCCTCGCCCCCGCCCTCACCCCCGCTAACGCCCCCGCACGCCGTATGGGCCGCCTCAAACTAAGGGCGTTTCCAAGGAGTCCGTCTGAAAATTAACAGAATTATTAATATAAGTAGACTATATTTTGCAATGAATGAGTATGCTTCGAAAGATTAAATGGTATTTTGCGAATTTATTTTAATAGTGTCAACAATGAAACTGTATTAAATATTTTTTTTTCATTAAAGTTTTCAACACAGGCACCGAATGGAAATTCAGACTTTTTTTTTCAGAAAAAAATTAATTCATATTTCTTTTAAGCATTGGTAACAAATAAACTTTTCTGATTTTTGTTGATGGTTTTATGAACTTACTACGGATTATTTAAGTGTATAATTTGTGTAAATATAAACAAAGTCAAATATATTATAATCAAATGGATGGTATCACACACTTCTTAGTATTAAAAGTAGTTTTCTTTAATTTTACAAAATCTCCCCCTCCCCTTAATAATTTCTTGAGATCCTCCTGACACTTGCCTGCTCCTCGCCCCTCGTGCGAGGCCTCGGAGCGAAGGCGCGCCGCGAGTTCTCGGCTTTCTGTCTTCACCGTCTTTCCCAATGGGGAGTCGGCCTGGAAGACGTATCCCTTTGGCGCAAGCGCACAATCAGCAAGGAGTCGACACGAAAGACGGACGGCGTATTTGTGGTTGCGTTGTGTTTGCTTCCGTCGTAAGATTAGGCTAGTTAATGCCGCTTAACCTCAATACGTGAAGTCAGAAGTGGTAATAGTAGTAATAGTAGTAATAATGTTTGTGGAGTGTAACATGATTTTATTTACTCATATGATAACAGTATAATATACGTAATGCAGAAATGTTTCAAAGTGATTTAAGTTCGGTAATGTCATTTAACCGATTATTAAAAACTATTTTGTTAATATATATATATATA